AAAAACCTAGAAATGGGCAAAGAAGGGTCCGCGGGGCATCCGGGGGGGGGGGACCGGATCTGATAAATGTTTGCATTCTAGACATCAAAATTACTGCTCAAATCCTGTTAGAATGCACCAATTTTTAAACATTTTCTTTGGGGAGATCTCCAAACCCCCCCCCCAAAGTGGCCTTCGGCAGCTTTTTAAAACACCTGAAAAAATAAGCAGGAAAAAGTGTCCTTTATTTCATCCTGGACACCTCCCTTTCAAAAATCCTGGATCCGCCCCTGCAAGTTGGTTTTCGAAGCGATGCTCGTTTTCCTTGTACAGTGGTGATAAATTGCATGTTTGACAGCTACCTTCACTGCTCAAATTTATCTCGTCAGCATTCAGTTTCTGCTTAAAAATAAATTAAAATTGAAATGTTAGATTTAATTTATTAGATCTAGGGCTATTATCAGTTTTAATTCACATGAAATTTTATATCGTGAGAAATATCACGTATGCGAACGTAAGCTCTAAATATGTGGCCTTCATTTTACTGTTTATTTGTTTAGTTAATTCACTTAATTGAGGTGTATAACTAGCTGCAGCAGAAAAATAGACGAATCAGTTTAGGTATTGGTTCTGGTATTCTTGTACTTGATATATATTCAAGAAGAAGAAAAAAGCGAGCCTATACACACTCATCAGTTAACCGTGCATAAACTAGATGAATTTGTACGTCTAAACGACGTAATGACATGACTGATGATGACACAATGACCGATAAAACGCGACCTCATTAATCAAGACACAATATTACGGTCTACGAGCAAAAGTTAATGTTAAGCCTAATTTTGTTACTGGTACCGGGCCCCCTGAACACAAAGCACCAACGTGTATTCAACATGGCCGCTCATCTACTTACAATCGCATGTACATTACTGAGTCAACAATAATAATTCCTAACACAAACGCTTAAATCTCGGAAGATGTCGCGCCAAGCACATAATTTTGATCATACTATCAGCATTAGCGTCATGAACCTACCATATCGCTGCATTAAATTCCATGACGACTTCGTTGGAAAAAGTATTTCAGTTCCGCACGCGCGACGCCACAACACAAACGGAAAATCCACAACACTTATAGAAGACAGTAGTTAGCACGAAGCTGACGCAAGTGCACAGGAGTGCAAACCCATTACATGCATGAACCCCTGTGCAAATTCATGTACCGTATTTCATGGCTTATAAGAAGCATTTCTTAGCAGGTGCAGCTTGCACCGGTGTAGAAGATGCTCAGTGTTTTTTTAGATAGAATACGGTACATTGTAGGTATCAGCAAATAGCCTACAGCCTATAGGCCCTATACCAACCATGAAATGACTGATAGTGACAAGGGCATGGAAATACAAGAAATTTGAGAGGAAAAACATTTAAAAAAACAAACATGTGGTCTTATTATTGGTGAGCATGTATCTGCCGTGGGGAAATGCTATTTATTGGGTAGTCAAGCGTTATCAGAGCATCTTTTAAGCTGCAAAATACGGTATTATTTACAAATCAAACAAATCTTGTGGCAAATAACTGCAAGACTAAATTGCCAACATCTGAGAGCAAATCGCACAATCTCTCTCTCTCACTCTCTCTCTCTGTCTCTGTCTCTCGCTTTCTGTCTCTCTCTTCTTTGCAGAGTGCCAAATACAGGTCTAATGCATCGGAGCATGTTACACGCTGCGAGATGCGGTGTTCACCAGAGAACACTGCAGTGGCACGCTCAGCTCCCTCCCCCGCACTCACATGAGCCCTCTAGCGGTTGATCTCCCTGATCGGCCGCACGGCATACGCGTGCGTGCCATGTTTTCTCTTCCCTCGCAGACCGACGGCGTACGGCAACACGGCCGGCCGCCGCACGTGGATGCCGCTGCCACCTGGTGTCCAAACACGGAAGCTGCACTCATGCATGTCGCCCGCCGTCACAGACGCCCAACCTACAGGATTGAGAACGACAGAAGCAGCGCATTAAGTCAGCAGTCTGCATGAGAGATGTTACTCTTGATCGCTATTAATAATATAATCGAGTGAATTCAAACAGGATGTGCCCTATAAATACATAAAGCATGCCAAATAAAAAACCTTTCATCTATAAACATGCAACGGTCAGATTTAAATGGTATTAAGTTTTTTTAACAGCAACAAGACTATGGATGCAAGAAACCAATTGTTTGCACGATACCAGTGGCGACCCATGCTCTGTAAACCTCAAATAATGCTCTCCATAAAATGTTTGAATTTATTTAAATGTCACTCTGGGGTGCCGTTGTTGTACCATTAGCAGATGCTGCAGTTTATGCCTACATAACTCATTCGATCAAATTTTGCGATTAAAAAGCGAATGTATGAAAATATAGAAATGGTTTGCATCGGCACTGAAACAATTAACTAACACGAATAAAAATATCGATAGTGTTAGTGTTAGTTACTCAGTATTGAATATGGCATGGCACTGTCTGTGATAGCAAGTAAGAACCAACATGTAAACATATAAAGAATTCATCAATAAATGTGAATAGGAAGACACATGTATAGACTCTACACACACAAAAAAGAATAAAAACCTTTGCATCATGATCACGAATAAGAATATATACACACATAATAGAGTCCACACATTAATAAAAATAATAATACACGTACACATACAGATTTCATACATTAATACGAATAAGAGCGTATCTATATTTATGTTACCAGCAGAGGACAGCACTATGTCACACGGGCTCTTCTCCCATCCTAGGCCCAAAATGGGTGCGAGATCTTTATACTGCATGGCAGGGAAATCCTTCAGTCGAGCTGGGTTTGACTCGGGTACCTGTAAACACACGCTAGTGATTCAGCCCTAAGCCTTAGCTACACATGTGCATCGCTCATCTATGTTTACACATCTTTGATATTTTGTTTACACATCTGCTGGGGGGGGGGTATTGATTGATGTACGGGGGGGGGGGGGGGGAGGGATTAAGTGATTTACACAGTATCTTATTTTTAAATGTTTAAAACGTGCATGCAACCTTTCAGGCTTTAATTTAAAAAATTTAAATTAGCTGGGTTCATCCAAGTTGCGTCAAAAAAACTGCATCGGTTCCGGTTTTTTAACTTGCCACAATTATAGTATTAATTAATTCAATAATTTAATGACTACACTTGATAATTAGTAGTATTACAATTGTGGTAACAGCCAACCAGGGACGCCACACTGACCTGTAACTTGCCGGCATGTAGTGCCTCTGCATACCACTCGTCTGCCTCCACGGTGAATCGCACATTGACAGGAAGACGTGCAGACGCAAACACAGTGATCAGTGCTTGCTTCACGCCCTGCAGACATAAACAGTAACATGATCTACAGCAGGCACCAGGGGGCGCTGTGTATGCTAAGCAAACACACTGATCAGTGCCAGCATTCTACAGATTCGTTACCACAAGTACCATATTCGTTTGGCGTACAATCAAACGTGTACTTCCTGTCCCCAATACAAAACAGACATCTCTAGATGGAGGACACTTTTGGAGTTTTCCATGAGTGACAGTTACACAGAGAAATTACCTCTATAGAACAGAAATCTGCCTATAAAAGACAGTTTTGGTAAAGAACCCGTTATACAGTGCAACCAACTCTACGGAAAGGAAACCTATCTATGAGGGACACATCCCTAGTTTTCCCGGAGCGACCGTTACACACAGTGGATTGGCTGTGATGGCCGGCTTACCTGCAGGTAGTCTATACGCGCGAGTCCACCCAGGAAGAGCGTGCGCTCGGGCCACAGAATGAACGTGCGTGGAACGACAATCTCCTTCGGTAGAGTCGCCAGCAGCTCCTTAGATGTCAGCTTATTGATGATCTAAAGAAATAGACAGAACAAGGTGGAGGAGAGGTGACCCAATTGTTAGCACTCGAAACTTTACTCTGTTAAGCGTTTGGGGTTTGAGTAAGAGCGTGTTCACTGCTGTTGTGCAGTCGAGGGTGGCGCTTTATCGCGATTTGTTTTAGTTCCCACCAGCTGTAGAAACGTGTTCAGAGTGATGTTGTAGAGCTAACTACCTCACCCGCGCAAAAGCAAGAGCTTTGCTGGGCTAATTCTGACAGAGATGCCAGAGAAACATGGTCGTATAGACCCCATGTTCCGCAAATGAGGAAACATAGACAGGAAAGCTTCACGTTTTAATTTCACAATTCCGCTCGATCTGAGGAAAAAAAAAACAGAGCTTTACTAGGAGATAAAAGCATTCACACAGATATTCTTGTAACAGAACGTAGATAATTACAGTCAGACCTGTGTCAGTCGTCACCTCTATAGAATGGACACCTGTCTATAAAAGACGCTTCATTTGTGTGAGTTACGTAGAAACACCACGCCCATGGAATAGACAACTGTCTAGAAAAGAGGCTCTCACCCCTTGAGTGCCATCTACACATTGAAATCACATCTTTCAAATGTACACCTGCTTATAAAGGTCAATTTCGGCATTCGTGACCCTTAAACGCAACAACGACTGCATCACCATGTCGGTGTTACCTGATCTTCTAGAATCGTGCCCGGCGTGTCGTACAGCCAGCGTCCGCGGAACATCTGCTCCTGTGTATTAAGGACAGGTGCATCGCCGTCGGCGATCCGCGGTTCATCTCCGCCGTCCGTGAACACGTTGTAGGAGAAAGGGTTCTTCCACGGTAGCTCACGACCTTCGTCTTCCCCGTCTCCCTCTACATCCTCCTCCTCCGGGGCGCCGAACGTTCTCCCAATGTGACCTTGACAAAATGAGGGGAAAGGTCGAGACGTCAGTGCCACACACACAGACAACACTGTGCAGCAATCTTTGCCGGCACAACACCACGCAACATTTTGCTCCACGCTTTTTCCTACAGCATCATTTTTCATGCACATTTCTTCTGCTCGCAAAATATCTCCCTAAGCAATACCGCTCAACATTTTTTCCACACACAATACCGCACAAAATTTTTCCCACACACAATACTGCACATGTTTTCCACACTCAATACCGCACAACAATTTTTCCACACTCAATACCGCACAACATTATTTCCACACACAATACCGCACAACATTTTTTCCACAAAATACCGCGCAACATTTTTTTGTCCGGCACAACACGGCGCAACATTCCCCCCCCCCCGCACAACACTGTGCAACAGTTCTCGCAGTATACCCCATTTTTCTCACGCCACGCACACAACACCACACCCACCATGTGCGTAACATCGCGTCCCCCGCGCGTCGCCACGACTCACCCAGCAGGGTCGCGTACTTGGGACTGCGCGAGTGCTTCAGCTTGCCCTGCCGGTACCTCCGCTCGGCAGATGCATGGCCGCGCTCGCGGCGCATGCGCACGATGCGCGCGTGCAGACGCCACGGCGTCGGACGCAGGATCGGAAACTTCAGTAGGTTCAAGGTCGTACCTGTCGAAACGCACACGCCGGCAGCCGAGATCACACAGTGTTCTAATTATAATGTACATACATACAGTGCTCAATTTTAAGGTTTTTTTGGGTTGTCCGGAGGACAACCAAGAGAGTAGCATATGGTTGTCCCTCAAGAGTTTTGGTTGTTCGGATATTATTTAAACATGTGCTGCATGCGCTCTGCCCACGTGATGCTCAGTGCTGTAAAGCAAAAGGCCTAATCATATAAATTTTGTACGTATTGCAGTGACAGCAGACATGGCCATTCGCATTGTTTCACTCATTATATGAAGAGAATAAAATATTGGTAATGTGGTAAATGATGCTGGGATCAAGGACGTATAATAATAGTAATTAAAAGTTGCATGAAATTTATTTCATAACATTTACATTAAGTTAACTATACCACTACTAACATTACTAACATTACTAACACTGTGTCAAGTCACAGATGAGTGACTTAAAAATGAAAAATGAAAAATGAAAAATGAAAAATTGAAAAATTAAAACGAAACATTGTGTTGTTAAACATGTGATGTTATACTTTGTATCAAGCAAGCCAGACAATGCGTCTAGACATGTACGTTTGCCGCATATTTGCATATTGCATATTGTGCAACCCTGGCCGTATGTAAAATGAACGTGTGCATTATGAATATAAAAATTTGATAGAGGTTGGACACCGGAAAACCACGGAAGCCGTAGTTGACTGAGAGAAAATCCAGTCGTCACGGACGACCGGACGACTGTTAAAATTGAGCCCTGACATATACGTATGTGCGTATGTGTCCATGCATCTGTGTTAGTTCCTGACTGCAAGCGTTTGTGCATGCGCATTAGTCGTGTATACGGTATACCTCTATGTTAATTAGTATAAATGTTAATATGCAGAGGTCATGACCCCAGTAGAATGCGAGCACACCTACGCATGCCGTAAATTACTATACCCATCACAGAGAAATAAGGCTTGTCGACATGTTAGTGTTACAAAAAAACAAAACATTTTGTAAATATTTTACCTAAAGCCATGGCCATTAAGTAAAAATGGCCAGTGAGATTATACCGCTTGCATGAATTAAGCAATGCTATTCTAATTCAAATGATTTAATACGGCACTTCAGAAAAAAAACATGCGTGCCTGGCAGCCTGGGCATTCAGAAGAGTGAGGGTATTTGCTAATATAATTTGCTAATTTAGTTCCAAAATCAGGATAACATCGGTCACGTGCTGCCATCTAGTGCAAATTATTGCAGAGTATACGCAAAAAACCATTACGTATAACAACAGATGTACTTACATGAAACTACATTGCACATTAATTTAAATAGTATTACCATACAATTTAATAAAATTATAATTTTGAATAGCTGTTCACCAGCACGTTGTGATGATTGCCTAATCAAAATTAAGATCAATAATGCCAGTAGTAACATAGGTGAATACTTTGATAGTTTTTGTTGTAACTATTATGCAGTTATTATATCTGAACACATCAACAGACATCAGCAGAAGATGGCATTAACTCCGGAAACTCAGTGCAAGTTTACAATAATTATCAGGATTAATTCCAAAAATAATAATCAATGCCGACAGGGGGATGGTCGAAGCTGCATAATACTAGCTCTCCTGCTCCATAAAGAATAGTAACAAGTGCCGCAGAGCGACAGGGCTCATCTGGTGTCTGGTGTTCTGCTGATAAATTCATTTGTGCATACAAGACGTCTTATACACAAATGCCGCGGAGCGACAGCGCTCATCTAACGTCTACTGCGGTGACTCTATGGTGGAGTGGTGGGATTCTAGTAAACCCTGTTAGTCCCAAATGTGTTCACATATGTGCCAAAACAGTGGAAGGCACAGGGATGGTATCAGGAACCTTCTCAAAGGAACGTTCGTTGGGATCGTTATGAAAGTTGCCACGAGATGGTGCGTACGTTTAAGTGTCTTAAGATTAAAGATGGAAGCTCCTATCGTACGTAGTAGCAACAACTATTTGCAAGACAGAATAGGTAAGCACTCATCCATTTACCTACGCTAGCCTACAGGCTGAAATAGAGAGCTGCCACCTGTAACTAATTAACACAGGCAAAAAATACACAGTACTATCACCACTACATGCACTGGCAGTGGCCACTGGCAGTGGCATAAGTTACATGTAACACACTGACATTACAGAATGCCATAGAAATTATATGATTTAAGGAGCATAAACCTTCTTCAACCAAATTTAGCTTTTGAAATTTCACTGTGACATTGTAGCCTCATACATCCAGGCATGTATAGATTCTACTAGCAAACCCGGCAGTCAAATTCTTTCTAACAATAAACAAATCCATGTTTAACCTGCCTCTTGAGGGTCAAAAGGTTATCCGACACTTACTCTTCGCATGTCAGCAGAAAGTACATTTCATGGTCCTTTCAATAAAGCCATAAAAATGCTAGGTCACCGCTGAAACAAAAAAGTTTTTCAATCGCTCCGTCAGACCATGTCCTCAGAAAATGTCTAAAATCTGCCCTGTGCCCCATTGACCTGTGACCTTCAATTTCGGCACAGTGATGGCTTTTCCTACCATGATGCTATACACCAACTATCACGAGCCTAGGTCGAGCCGTTTAGATTTGTGCCGCAATTCTGCATTTCCTCCCTATACCTTAAGTTAAGGAGGGAATGTTCCCCCTTCTTTTACACATCTTGACCTTTGACCTTTGACCCCCAGCTTCGACATCCCAACTCGTTTTCGGATTACCGCCCCACGTCTCGAATATCGTGACCGTACGTAGAGCGGTTAAGATTTGTGCCCAACTGTTGACGGACGGACGGACGCACGGACGGACGATCATGCGATTCTACAAGCTGCATCTGACATGTCAGATGAGCTAAAAACCAATGTACTGCACTTTCTTCCTGGATTTACTTGAGGTAGGTTCAGAAAGGGAGACCTTTTCTGTTCAACTCACCAGGCCACATCGATACGGTAGCTCTGTGTATCAGGTCTGAGGCTTTACTCTGACAGTAATCAGACTGCAGAAGTGCATTGAAGAGTGATGACTTGCCCACATTCGTCGCCCCAAGCAAATAAACATCACCTGCAAAACACCAAATGATAAAAGCTTAGCTGGTATCTTACTTGCAATAGGCATACACGGGAAGGTTGAATATTACTATTTACATGTGCACAACATTTGAGTATGACATGGAATGAACCGTATGATGTAGCAAATAAAAATAAACATTTGCAGAATAACCCAACTTGATGATCCGTTCTAGATTTTTACGTATTACATATTGCACGGATATTACCCGAGATGTGCCCACCTTTCTCTTTCTTCAGAGATTGAAGTTTTGTGATGAAGTCTTCAACCCCGTAGCCGGTCTTAGCGCTTACCAAGTGGACCATCTCAACGTTGTTCTTGACATCTATACCTGTATTCAGCAGAAACAACACAGTACAGCAATACAATATATATATATATATATATAATATAATATAAATATATATGTAATATAGTGGGACCTTGATGCAAATATTAAGCTCTCAGTAATCGCTAGTGCAGAGCGAAACACAGGCAGCAACAATAACAAGACATATGCACAACCTGCTAGTGGGTCCTTGTTTGAATGTGATGTGATATTTACACAGTACGTTTACACCTCTACTATCTTCCCTGGCTCTAATATGTGAAAGTTAGGTTTAACTTTCAGTTACCTTAGTAACAGTTATTTATTAATGAACCTAGTATGATACTACTATACAGTCAAATCTGGGTAAACACTAACACCTCTACAGAATGGACATCATGCCATAAAGAAGTGACACTTAAACAGTAAAACCACCTCTATAGCACGGACACCTGTCTATAAAATTTTTTTCCCCCTGGGTCACTTTCATAAACATGTTTAACATGTATTACATTATTAGATTATGATTATTCCTACCAGCATCCTTCAGGCACTGAGTGACAGAGGCTGTAACCCTGCTAAGGTATCCATCTTTATCCTTCATCAGTAAATCCACCTGCAATTGTGAATTGCACACGGGTCTACATACATACACCCAACACATATATCTGCTTCTATTAATATGCCAACCTGTAATAGTCACACACAAAAAACATCAAAAGACTCCCTTCATTTCCTAAGATTCTTAGAATGTAAAGAGATATAAATGCACTTCAACAGATAAATGTGTTACCTTATCTGCAACTACAACCATTTTGTTCTTAAAGCCTATCATCGTGAAGGTTACGCAAGCAAAAAAACATTCAACATGTTCACTTTATTTCGTGAGTGTCTTAGAAATCGACAAAGTTTTTCTTTTACTAAATGATAATTGAAAACAGAATTTTCTTCACTTTCAACTATACTATCATTTAAGCACTCAAACAACAACACGTTACCTTATTAGCAACTACAACAATTTTATTCTTGGAGCCCATCAGCGATTGCAGGTTTGGCGGTATGCAGCATGGCACGTCCATGACATCTAACATCAGCACAACTAGCGCCCTCTCTCTCTTGATCCTCGCCACCACATCAAACCAGTCCTGCTGCGGGACGTTGACGTTTAAAGCAATGTCGTAGCGAATCATGTACTCGCACCGCTGGCAGACGGATTTCGAGAGCTCACCGGTCGCTACCAGCTCCTTGTACTTTTGACTCGGGAGGTAACCTGAGAATACACAAGTCGTTTTATATGCACGAACTGAATATTACTATTAGCAGGATTTTTCACGCATGTGCGCGGGGTGTGGAAAAACTCAAGAGTGGACAGGGGTCGAAATTAGATTTTTATTATGGTATCCATTCGGGATACCAGGTATTGAAATCTGGTATCCCCCCCAAAAGATCTGGTATCCCATTTTTTCGATAGTAATTTCAACAATGTTGGTATCCAAAATCTTTAAATATGCAATAATAGCATTTGAAAATTATTAATATGTAATGTAATTATTATATAAAAACATGAAAACAGATTCACAGATATGCACAGACAAGTACACTGCACACGTATTGTCTAGACGCATTGTCTGGTTCGCCTAATACAATGTATACACATCACATTTATGATCAGATCGCGCGCACTCGCTCTGCGCGCACTCGCTCAGATGCGCTGCCGTATAAAGTTGATAACTTAACAACCACTATCCCGATTTCGACGAGTTTTTTTACTATCTAGGTAATCTGGTATCTAACGCAAGAATCTACTATCCTGCGGATATCGGGATACCGCTAATTTCGACCCCTGGTGGAGGGTAGCCTGAAGGTACACGTCATCTTATATGCATGAACTGAATATTAGACTATTAGTAGGATTTTTTCTGCATGCGCGCGGATTGTGAGAAAACTCAAAGGTGGGAGTAAGCTTGAGAGTACACAAGTCGTTTTATAAGCACGCACAACATATTAGTAGGATTTTACGCACGTGTGTGGGATGTAAAGAAAAAAACAAATTATAGTTTAAATTAATCGAATATATCCGTTTAAAATTGTGCGAATGATGCATAACGTGCATAAAACCTGTAATGTAACTCTGATACCTGGCAGGAACGTGTCCTGGCAGTGCAAGTGGGCCCCACATCCCCTGCACGGCAGCTCGCTGGCAGGGACCGCAGGGTCTGGCGTGCCGCGATACGTGTGCAGCAAGTCTCTGTAGCGTCTGTCCTCCGACGCCCGCTCCTTCAAAACGTCGAGTCTAATCGCGTCAAACTCGATCGCATCCACCTCGTCTACTGTCACGATTTCTTCCTCCTCCACCAATGATGACGACGGGGAGGTCGCGGAAGGGTCGGCGTCAGACAGAGGGCGCCGCCGCGTGCTCTCCCGCAGTATCTTGATCTCTCGCCGCACAGGCGCTCTCACGTCGGCCACGTTCCGCTGAAACGGGTACACCGGCGCCACCTCCTCTGCCTCGGTCTCGTCGCCGGACGCGATCGGGTTCCCGTCGCCGTCGACGACGTCGGAGTATTCTTGTGCGAACCTCGTCGCGTGCAGCCTCAGGTACGCGCGCGCGGCCGGCGGCAGCAACGCGGGCGTGTCGTCGTCGCCGTCGGCGACCGCGCGAGCGTCGAATCCCAGCTTGCGGAGTTTAGCTAGTCGGCTGCGCTCTCGCTTCGCGCTCGTGAAGTCGGCGAACAGTCGCTCGCGCTCGCGCTGCCGTTCGACGGCTGCCGCGAGGGTCGCCGCGTCGCGTGCTGCGGGGGAAGCGCGTCGCCCGCCGTCGCCGTGGTAACACGCTCGGATCGAACGCGCCGGAAAGACGCTGGCAATAAGCAGGTTACCGCGAGGCACCGCCCTGCCGCACATCCGCGGAACGAGCCGCGCAAAACTCAGAACCGCGACAGGCATTTCGACGAGCGACGCGGGCTATAAAAGAAGTATATGAAATAAACAACGGAGAAAGAACGGGATGACCGTCAAAAGCAGAAAAAAAAATTGGGAAAAAAACTAAAGCTCGCGAAGTTTGCGACAGCCCTGCTAGGTCACGCCGCGTTTCGTCAGTCCCGCGCGCTCGTGTTCGTACATGATCCCACGTCGTCTAGACGACTATTGCAGGTCCTCATCGTCGAATAGATCCTCGAAGTCATTAAAGAAATCTGCGTGCACCGATTTTTCGTTGGCGGCCAAGTCCATAAGCAGTCCGCTAGAGCCTCCTGCTTCTTCGAGGTCCATGTAGGGGCCGGCTCCTTCGGGGAACATCTCATCGGCGACGATCGTCGGCTTCATGTTTTTAGGTCGAGTAGCGCCACCTGGATCGTAAAAAAATTATTAACGGCCCAACGTCAACGACGCTGAGTTTTGGTGGTCGGGCATGTTCACCTTTCACTCCAAAGGCTGCGAGTAAAAACTTCCAAGGAGCAAGGAGAATAAACTTAGTTTTCAACGTTGGGGACTGTGTCACAGTGTGTGCGAATTCTGTGTAACTTGTAAGTTGTAATTACCACTTACTTGTAAAGCACACAAGACGACGTTACACAGTCTATATTAGCTACAATAATGTAACCCAAACACAGGATAGGTGTTTGGGTTACATTATTGTATCTAAATCTATATCAGTGATCACCTTCTGTGCAATTCAATTCAAGCATTTTAAGCTCTCTGACACAATCTTCAGTACGATAAAGGCGGCAACAGGCAAGAATTTGGCAAAATACGAATTTGGCATTCTGCCACACCGATACTGTGTTCGCAGTGGCTATATGCCCAGCAGCCGGGCACGGTCTTCGATTTCCTAAATGCCCGGCAGTTTTCCATAATAGACGTGTACACATGTGTTTGCTTATTTAGCATATGTCATGTCCTGTTTCCCATAAGCCTGTATGGCCAAGCGGTTAGAGCACTGGCTTTACGTCTGAAAGGTCGATGGTTCGAATTCCGTCTGTTTTTTAATTATTTTCCTGTTTTCTGTATTTTTCTATCTTTATCTATTTAACTATTGTTTTCCAATTAACGAAAATATTTACATTATTTATTTACAACAATTTAATTAAACTTTTTTTTTTTTTTTATTAAATTTATTAGTGTTAATTAAATTTAATTAGGGTTAGGGTTAGGGTCGGGGTTAGGGTTAGGGTTAAGGTTAGTCAGAAAGATATGAACGAGCCAGGTCAAACAGAGTTCAAACTGCCGGGCATTTAGGAAATCGAAGACCGTGCCTGGCTGCCGGGCATATAGTAGCCACAGCGTACAGTGTTAGCTCTAGTAACTATAGCCCGCGTACAGTTGCCGCTGGGGCTGGTCGCTGGGGCTTGCCAGCGGCAACTGTACGCGGGCTATAGTTACTAGAGCTAATATTAATACAGTGTCAGCTAGTGTCATAAACATATACTGTCCGTAATAATAGTGTGATAGGGCGCGTTTGTTTGGGACGAATCCGGCTGATCGAGATGATGTGATCCTGATCCGACCAAACAAACGCAAACTCACTTTCACCGGTTCACGTTTCGCTGTGACCTATCACGGGATGGTTCATAACAAAGAACAATCTGTGATTGCCAGCCTTAAGGCCGCCGCACACCAGCCGATTTTTCACGCGATTTGATCGGCCCGATAGAAATCAGCCGATATCGGGTAGGTGTGCGCGTTCATTTGTAGATGATTTTATTTTTATCGGGTGATCGTTCCAAATCAAACATGTTTGATTTTGAACCGATTATTTGGACGCGATTTTGTGGTGTGCGCGTGAACTCAGGAAAATCGTGTGCGATAAATATTGAACAGCCAATAGCTGAACGTGCCCGTGTCACATGACATTCAAAATGGCGGCTACCGTAGAGAAAGCTTGGACCCTCGAAGAAATATATCGTAGGTGTGCGGGTGTTTATCGTAGGTGTGCGGGTGTTTATCGGAAGGCGTCGCGATGAGCCGATTTTACAAACGATGAAGCGATTTTTGAATCGGACCGATTTTTGTGTAGGTGTGCGGCGGCCTTTAGGCTTAGGCTTAGGAACAGACACATGCCATGCTGCCAGTGCCTGCAATCTGTGACTGTGGCTGTGCGCATGGAAAATGATTAATTTGTTCCATTTGAGCACTATTGAGTAAAGGCTAAACTAAATAAAAATACAACAAAATTTCACCTACACGTACTTAAACAAACTATAAAAGACTTTACCTCTACTAACCGACACAGAACTCCCGAAGACACTATCTTAGACACAGATTTTGCTAAAGAGTGGCCAAAAGACCTACAAATCGAGGGTGATTTTTGCGTTACTGGGAATAAATTTAGTGGCGCCCCCTCGTGTTAGTTGCGTTCTCCGGCGCTGCGACCCGGAAATGAACAGGGAAGTGATCGAATAGGGCAGAGTGCATTTTGGTATAGCAATGGAGATAGAAATAACAACGTAGTTATTCCGTGTAAAGTAAATACTTTTTAAAAGCGCATAAGACGTAGGTCAAACACCGACGTAAGGTAGAACGAACGAACTTCGATGGACGTACTTTAGACCAATAAATTGTGCCCTAAAAATTTTTATATTCTGATGTTATTTTAGGGCCCAATACTGGCAATAGCCTTCAAGTCCAAGTTCCAGCCTAGGCTAGGCATAGATGATACTGTAGAGTAGACAAAACCTGTAAATTTTTTCGTGCAAAATGCACGACAACCTTTTCACTATTTACGGCCGTGTTACATAGAAAATCAAAGAAATACATAAAGCCGCCGCTTTATTAACATCTTACCTACATTACAAAACACTTGGACGGATGTAATAATACCTGGACTTCAGTAAAGCCTTCGACAAGGTCCCACACCAACGCCTTCTTCAGAAGCTTGACCATTACGGTATCCGTGGAAAACTTTTACGCTGGATAGCAGCTTTTCTCACCCAGCGTACCCAGCATGTAGTTGTAGAAGGAGACTTCTCTGACTGGACTGCTGTCACTTCAGGAGTTCCACAAGGAACGGTATTACTACTAGGCCCACTCCTATTCCTCCTCTTCATTAATGACTTGCCAGACAACATTGCTTCCCAAACTCGATTATTCGCAGATGATAGTCTGTTGTACCGCGAGATTAGCAACCAGCAAGACCGGGAAGCGCTTCAAGACGATCTTGACAAGCTGGTACAATGGACATCGACATGGCAGATGGAGTTTAACGCAAGCAAGTGCTACATCATGAATATCTCCTTTCTGCGCAAAAAAACATCATAAGTACATCTACCGCATTCACGACTCTTTAGTGCAGTATGTCACATCCAACCCGTATCTTGGAGTTCACCTAGACAGTGGCCTCAGGTGAAACGTCCACATTGACAACATATGCGTGAAGGCCAACAGATTGTTAGGCTTCCTGCGCCGAAATCTGGGCTGCAGCCATAAGCACATTAAGGAAAGAGCAAACAAAACTCTTTTACTACCAAGCCTGGATTACTGCTCATCAGTGTGGGACCCACACCAAGAGAAATATAAATATAAGCTAGACATGATACAAAACAGATCTGCAAGATTTGTTACAAACACCAATGGGCGATATAGCAGTACGTCAGCTCTTGAGGACCAACTCGGGTGGCAACAACTTATGTATCGTAGACGCTTTAACTCGAGTGTAGCGATGTATAAGATTGTAAACCACCTCATAGCAATACCGGCGAATAGATATCTGATCCCGGGGATGTCAGGTACCAGATCGAAAAACCCCCCACAAATTTCGGCACCTGCACTGCAACAACAACGCATTCAAATTCTCCTTTTTTCCCTCGGATGATTCCAATCTGGAACAACCTACCCGTGGGTGTTGTGGAAGCAACGGATGTTGACATTTTAAGTCAAGGCTTCCATGCACGGAACCCACTTTAAGAGGACACCAGTTGCATTGCACTCACATCATTATGCACCTGTTTGTTTATTGGATTTATCCCTGAATGCACTCACTACCTTGTAAAAGTTGTAATTATATCCAGTGTAGTGGACACCGACAAGTACGAGAACATAATTGTCATGCAGTATTCTCCTCTTTAATCACGTTTATTTTATTAAAACATCACGACATAAAAATCACACAAACTTTGCTACAAACAAAACTGGCAATCTTGCATTGAACCGCTTTTCTCACCGACCAATGAAATCATCGCTGTCCGGTGCGGTTCAATGCAAGATTGCCAGTTTTGTTTGTAGCGAAGTTTGCATGATTTTTATGTCGTGATGTTTTAATAAAATAAACGTGATTAAAGAGGAGAATACTGCATGACAAGTGTTTTGTAATGTAGGTAAGATGTTAATAAAGCGCCGGCTTTAGGTATTTCTTTGATTTTCTATGTAACACGGCCGTAAATAGTGAAAAGGTTGTCATGCAGAATGCACGACAAAATTCACAGGTTATGTCTATGGAAGGTTATTGGGCCCTAAAATAACATCAGAATATAACATTTTTTAGGGCACAATTTATTGGTCTAGACGTACTTATATTCGCAATTTCTCATTATATTGTTATAACCGAGATTAGCCACGTAGAGTACGAACAAAGTTATTATTTCACGTGCCTTGCCTTTCGTGGGTCACTACCTTAGACTTAGTAATAGTAGCTAGCTCCAAGAAACGGTCTTGCTAGGGTTAGAAGACCGTTTCAAACATTAGCTGCAGCTTAACACGTAGTTGTCTTATTTGCCAAGTGTCGCCAAACGACGTGGATATTTGTCCGAGCATCGGACACCTGTTCGTATGCGCTATTCGTCCGAGCAGTTGTTGCGCATGCGCTATTCGTCCGAGCAGTTGTTGTGCATGCGCTGTTCATGTTGTTTTCCCCTGTGCTTGTTGTTGCGCATGGTCATATTAATATTCAGGCGCATGGTTAACGTTCATATTTCAAACAAGTTAAGTCAAAGGTGGTAAATAGAATAGTTTTATTTGAGATAATATACAGAGTTATTCATCTAGATCTGCAGAGGTGATAGGTTTTTTTCCCGACGTACACATGTGTACACATGTATTTGCTTATTTAGCATATGTCATGTGCTATTTTCAATAATGCCGGTATAGCCGAGCTCGTAGAGCGCCAGCGTTACGTCTGTAAGGTCGTTTGTTTGAATCCCATCAGTTTTTTAATTATTTTCCTGTTTTCTGTATTTTTCTATCTTTATCCATTTGATTATTTTTTTCCAATTAACGCAAATATTTACGTGATTTATTTACACCAATTTCATTTAAATAGTTTTTTTAAATTAAATTAAATTAGGGTTAGGGTTAGGGTTAGTAATTAGGCTGGCAGCAACTGATTGAGAACAATTTGTTCAGTTAAGGCCTCTAAATATTATAAACAAACCGACGAATAGCGCATACGAACAGGTGTCGGATGCTCAGACGAATATCCACGTCGTTTGCCAAAGAACACTTCACATGTCAGGGCTCAATTTTAACAGTCGTCCGGTCGTCCGTGACGACTGGATTTTCTCTAGGGCAACTACAAATTGCTTCCGTGGTTGTCTGGTGTCCAACCTTTATAAAATCAATAACCTGAGCTCTCTATACCAGTGTTGGCGGTACACGTACAGTATTCAGGTATTTAAAATCTGGTATCCCCCGAAAGATTTGATATCCCTGTTTTAGATAGTAATTTCAACAATGTTGGTATCCAAAACTTTGAAATAAGCAATAATGACGGTGCGCGCTTCTTCTCGTTCATCGCTCCTGGGCGATCGATCGCTCGCGGGCTACCAGCGAGTGCGCGTTCATTTTACATACAGCCAGGTTTGCACAATACGCTGCAAACGTACATGTCTAGACGCATTGTCTGGCTTGCTTCATACAATGTATAACATCACGTGTATGTACATGTATCGCGCGCACTCGCTCTACGCCCACTCGCTCATTTGTCATTTGTCATTTGTAATTCGCCAGCCAGTTACTATAGAGATCAGTGGCCTCGATAATGTACATGATTAGGCCTTTTGCCTTACAGCACTGAGCATCACGTGAGCAGAGCGCATGCAGCACATGTTTAAATAATATCCGGACAATCAAAACTCTTGAGGGACAACCATATGCTACTCTCTTGGTTGTCCTCCGGACAACCCAAAAAAAAACCTTAAAATTTAGCACTGCATGTGATATACCAAATGAATCAGCATACATCCACCTTCTTGTAACCATCAGTGCGCTATGATGCGCTGGGTACTTACGGGGTTACAGCGAGTTTTTGAGACGAATGCAACCAAATTTATGAATTCGCCACCATGTTGTATCATTCCGACTGACTAAAATCCGCAATGGATCGAACAAGGGAAATTAAACGATCTGCGGTCCTCATGTAAACCACCCCTACATCCGAGAACATGTCATCTAAGGTTTTTACAAATTACCCAGACATTTGTGGACATCGTTCCACTTGCTTTGGTGTGTAATTGCCGTGAGAGCCAATCGTGCGGCTATTGTACTATTTTTATAGTATTTCTAGCGAGTCTTTTCCGTGTCTCTCTTCCGTTGAGCATGCGCAGTGTAAACATGGCGGGTAAACAATCGTGGAAAGCTGCTTGGAAAGTTGATATGCTGTGAGAATTAGCAGATTATACCATGAATTAAGAGATACATTCTAGTTTAGAAGCAGGACAACTGTGAGTTAACGTTCATATTTCAAACAAGGCAAGTCAAAGGTGGTAATAGAATCGTTTTATTTGAGATATACAGAGTTATTCATCTATATCTAGGTGATAGGTTTTTTGTATGGAAGGGTGTCAGGTGGTATAGACAATCGGTTGCACAGCCTGGTCGGGCTAGTCACTACCTAGTACTATACTAGTGCAAGCGAAAATTATCCAGTATACGTTTTAATGTCCTCCCTAGTTCATAATGATTCTATTATCAAACATCGTTATCAAATGTACAATTATTGAATATACATTTTATTTTGGAGCGCATAACTGAGTGATATATTATATAGCTGCACAGTGTAAGAATTCGTTTTTTGTGAGGAGAGTTTACGACTGGAACCACATTGAGGAAGCACTCATCTGTGCTGAAGATTCTAACACCTTTCAATCTGGCATCAAAACTCGCCACTAACGTCTTCCAGGGCTCTATCCCACCCGTCGTAATTCGCCTATTGAGGCTTCTCAACGTACCGTCAAGATCAAGATCAAGATCTCATTCGATTCTGAATACCACACACATGTTTTCGTAAAATGGAAACACTGTCAAATTGTTGAATATACATTTTAATTTGGACATTTACTTTGCAGCACATTTTAAATACCAGACACGATGTCAAACGTACATGCGAGCCAGCCTCTGTCCGTAATACTCAAGTCGAATGATGCCAAGGAGCCAGAGAACATGCGTCGAGAAGATTGGCGAAAAGCCAAGGAACTAGAGGAGGCGCGTAAAGCTGGAACAGCTCCGGCTGAGGTCGATGAAGAGGGAAAGTAAGTTGTCAATGTTGTTGCTAGGCATGTAGACAGGGAGTACAGATTAATCTTAGTTAAAGCCGCACAATGCGCATCCAAACGCTAATTTCTTCAGTACTAGACTAGCAAATACTTCGTGTCATGCATAATCATACTACCTTATGGCAAAATAAACTCTAGTTCCTCCCATTTCACTGCGCGTTGTCTTATAAAAGGTATTTTGAAAATACCTCCGATGTTGTTGACAGTTCCCAAATCTCCAAGCAACCGTGCAGCGGTGCCGCGGTACAGCGGTACGGGCGCAGCAAAGATAAAAACATCTGACGTCACGTCACCACTTCGATGTTATGTTGTTTGAAACAAGTTAGCGTTGGCGCCTGATTACCTGATTTCGCACCTCTTTCTTGTTGGGAACGCGCAGTCAAATGGGAGGAACTAGAGTTTATTTTGCCATAAGGTAGTATGATTATGCATGACACGAAGTATTTGCTAGTCTAGTACTGAAGAAATTAGCGTTTAGATGCGCATTGTGCGGCTTTAAGGAGCCCGGTGCATATATCATCATCAGGATCACCCAATCCTCACCCTTAACCATAACCCCAAACCCTAACTCCGATACAAACCAGTTAAATTGAACCATAATCTTAACCTACATCCGTGACTCTAATCCTAATCCTAATACTATAAAGTAATCATAATCTAATCTAAAGCACCAGTCCAGGTCTAGGTACCGAAATTGGATTTGGCCACAAACGTAGAGAAGCGAGTAAATTAGTAATGACCATTATCTGAAGGTACGATCACTGGCTATAATTTTCTTTGTGAAAAAAGGATCTTCAAGCATTCATAATAAATTAAAAACAGTGAATTTCTCTGGTCTAGTGTTGTTTGCAGATTCTATTTCATATTGAAAAAGTGTGATAAAATGTTACCTTTGCGTGCAACCCGGAGTTTTTCTATAAAGAATATTATTCAGGTGCTAAATTATTATCTACCGTCTTTCAGGGATATCAATCCACATATTCCACAGTATATCACACAAGTTCCATGGTACTTTGGCACAGCGCAACCGACTCTAAAGCATCAGAGACCTCAGCCCGAGAAGCAGAGGGAGTTTAGTCGCATAAGTGAATGGTACAAAAAGGGAGTGCAGGTAGGTGTTAATAACGGTACACACATGCGCACACACGCACATGCACACACACCCATATAGATATATATATATATCGCACCCCAATATTTATATATATATTATATAACATAATGACAGTTAGATGTTGAATGAGTCCAAGACCATTCACCAATCTTTTCACTGATAAAATCTTGGGTCTTGTAACGAATTTATGGGGCAAGCCACATGATGCGTTCCTGCTATTACCACTTGTTCAGCTATGCTGTTAAAATCACACTTGACTTGGTAGGGTATTGCCATAGCGACATCGATATCAGTGGGCATAGAAATATTGATGTTTTGTGGGACAAGAACATAATTATCTCAAACGTGTGCCATCTTCCTAAGCCTTTTAGCAGGATTGGTATGTGGTATCACACTGCGCATCAACTGAAATTCCCCCGTAGGATAGAGAGGTGAAACTCATGCTTATCCAACTGTTAGAAATGCTGCGCGAAATTTAGACGCCAACAAATGCTGCCAACGTGACGTGAGAGTGCTATGTACACAGTGTTTGTCTTTCACCTGCGATCTCTAAAGTACGATTTCTCGTCAAAGGGCTCGACAGCGACAAAGTTCAGGAAAGGCGCTTGCGAAAACTGTGGCTCAATGACGCACAAGAGGAAGGACTGTCTGGAGAGGCCACGAAAGGTCGGCGCAAGGTTCACGGGTGATGATATTGCACCGGACGAACACATACAGCCGAACCTAGGCTTTGATTATGACGGCAAGCGAGACAGGTACGAATGTGCGAAGACGTGTCGTTTGCCTCCAAGACGCAAGTCTGTCTGTGGGACCTTGCCAAGCACATTGGTTGCATTTTTAAGCAGCTTCATGTGCCATTTCAGTTGTGTGCATGCTTATAGCGTAACCAAGTCCGTAGCTCTGTCAACTGCTTTGTGGAAGTACTGTGAGCTGCAGTATAACTTTTGAGACACATACTACACGGTATAGATAGACTTGACTAGAGCTGAGGTTATGTGCTTGGGTTAGGGTTAGATTAGCGTCAAGGTTAAGCATTGGGTTGGGTTAGGTTAGGGTTGGATTACCTTTAGAGTTTAGGGTTGGGTTAGAGTTAGGTAAAAGGTTAGATTAGGGTTAAGTTTAGCATCTAGTTAGACAAAAGGTTAAGTTAGAGTTAGCTTGGGGGTTAGATTAGTATTAGGTTAAGATTAATCTAGGATATGGGAAAGGGAAATCACTTGAAAGATGATTTTAATTTCAAGCAAAAAATGAGTCCTTATTCACGGTGTTACAGCCGTGTCTGAATTCTCTGGTAGTATACCAATTCCCCAATTAGCATCATAGTTGGGTTCCTGAAAAAAACGCGACTTTAACTAAAATGATATTAAATTATGTACCCTGCCATCTGATACATTTCCAACAAAGATAGCTTTTATATATTAAAAATTAATAAATGCACATGTCAAAGTTTCAAAGTGAAACATATTAAATTTTTATACATAAATACAGCAAACATCCACTGTTAAGTAAAGGGTAAAATTATACTCAGTACATTAATTCTTATAATATAGCCGACGCATCAGTGACACTGGTATTTTTAGCTTACCTTGACATCGTCAAGATGAGCTATTGCCATGGGTCGTCGTTTGTCGTATGTCTGTCCGTCCTTCTGTCAACATTTGGCTACGGTCAACGATAACTCAGGAACCGTTTGACCCACATGTTTGAAATTGGGTATAGTTGTTACTGCTATGCTTCCATATTGAACGTCTTATTTTGGAGCACGCCAGTCGACATACTTTCGAGCCACGGCAATTTTTTGGCAAAAATGGGAATTGCTATTAGTCAGTTTAGGTCCAACGGATTTTGCTCATTTTTGGTTTGTGAATGAATAAGGGCTAAGGGTTTTGATATTTAAAAAAAAAGAAGCAAATTAGGTAGGTTTTGGCAATTATATAGCATATTATGTTATAGACACGCAGATAACAGTCTGTGGTGTCACACATAACTGGTTCTCCCATATATACTCTTCGTTTCTATAATGTACGTCGATGGTTGCTCAATTAAAACTGACTTCTTCTCACTCACTCATTTGTGTTCTTTTTTGTGGTGAGCTACAGTGTCATTGACACTTTCATTTATTTCTCAACGACGTTACAATGAAGCAACGTTGAAAACAACAATGGTAATAGGGGTCTTTCTTTCCTCACTGCCTACATTGTAGGTGGAATGGCTACAATCCCGAGGAATTCAAGCGCGTTGTCGACGAATTTAATAAGATTGAAGAGGCGAAGCGACAGCTGAAGTCGCAGAAGCTGGAAGAGGACCTGATGCGAGGCGAGACGGTGGACGCGAGTAAGGTACGCGCACTTGTTTCAACCACGAGTTTTATGTGTACGCGTCCGTAACAATCTTCGGTAGGGATCAGGTCAGTCATTCATCTGAGGTTGATGTTTGACATAATGGTGATAAGTAACGATAATGGTGGTATAATAAATAATAATACATGGTTCTAATAATAATATAAATGTATTAAATAATAATTAGTGATAACAATAATGATGATATAATAAATAATAATTAGTAATAAGTACTAATAACAATAATGGTGAAATAATAAATAATAATTGTGGTGAAAATAATGGTAACAATGAAATATTAATGAATGTGATGATGACAGTAGTCATGCTGGTAACATGATGTGAATAATGGGAATTTCTACGGCTGCATTCAGTCTTGCATTGTTGTGTCTCACAGGCAAAGGAATTACTGGAGGAAGACGATGATGAGGAGAGGTATGCAGATGATGTGGACATGCCTGGCACAAAGCTGGACAGCAAGGAGCGTATCACCGTGCGAAATCTGCGCATACGAGAGGACGTGGCCAAGGTATCGTGCTCATGTTACACAGTTACAGAGTTGTACTAGTTATGTAGAGTTAAAGAGAGGACGTGGCCAAGGTATCATGCTCATGTTACATAGTTATACTAGTTGTACCATTATATAGAGCTATCCACTTCCCAGGCCTATTATGTATATCGGTCCAACATGCCTTCAAAGCTGATTTGTGACATCTGATGTAAATTCTCCGACCCCCGACATGCCTTGATTTCCAACTGTGTATACTTTTGACAATCCCTACACAGTCTTGCTGTGTTTTTACAGCTTGATGTGTATGTCTACAAACTGGTCAGGTTTATCTGTGTGTTGGGGGTTGCTCATGACTTGGTAATTTATCCTAATTGGTACAACCCCTTGCTAGGCCCTCCCCCATCCTTCCAAAAATGACACATCTTCTGAAATTCTACTATTCTAAGTTACATAATATCACACCTCTATATACGATATATATATATGTGTATATATATATATATATACATGTGATATCTATATGTCATAGTACTCACTATCTGATTTCTGTAATTGTAGTATCTTCGAAATCTCGATCCAAATTCGTCCTACTATGATCCGAAGACACGATCTATGAGAGAGAATCCATACCAGCAGCTTGGTGGGGAGGAAGGAACACAGTGAGTAGTTGTTAGACCAATCTGAATTCACCTCTATAGAATGAACACTTGTCTGTAATGGACAGTTTCGGTGTTTCCTTCGAGTCACAGCTGTAGAGTAGATACACCTCTATAGAACAGACACCCATATATATAAAGGCAAATTTTAGAATTTTCTTTGAATAACCTCCATACACAGGTTTGACTGTATATACCAGGTTTGTAATTATGGCACCTTCTTCTCTCGATCTGTGTATACAGGATACTTTAAGACTTCTCTTGAGTGGTAGTTATGCAGCAATATCACATACATAGAACATACACCTGTCTTTAAAGGACACTTGACTTGACTAGGATCTCAGCTAGTCATTTTATGTATGAATTTAGCAAGATTTGTGAGTACATGGTGTGTGTTTTCGTTGCAGGCTGCAGTATGTAGGTGATAATTTTGTAAGATACACTGGTGACACTTCGAAGATGGCTCGCACGCAGAGTAAGTGACATTACACGGGGAAAATTACATTCACAGAACATGATATGATATGAATGTGTGCGTGTGTGAGTGTATGATAATTACTAATAATAATCCAATATTATGAATCATAATTATAATGATCACTTATTATTGTTATAATATAATAATAATAATTATCAGTATCATTACTATGAATACTATTATTTACATGTTTGTTACATATTATTATCATCATTGTTATTGTTATCATATTATTATTAGTAGTAATATTATCATCATTGTTATCATTATCATTAATATTATTCTTATTCTTATTGTTATTATATTTATTATTGTTATTGTTTACACCCGTCGTTCTGTATCATTGGCAGTGTTTGCGTGGGAGGCGTATGATAAAGGTGTAGACGTTCACCTCCTCGCTGAGCCGACGAAGCTGGAGCTGCTGCAGAAGGAGTATGTCGTGAAGAAAGACGAGCTGGAGGAGGGGAAGAAGGGAAGCATCCTGGAGAAGTACGGCGGCGAGGAACACCTCGACGCGACGCCCAAGCAGCTGCTGCTGGCGCAGACGGTGAGTCGCCGCGCCGCGCGCGTACCTGGAGAAATGTGCGTGCATGAGCGTGTGCGTTTGTGCGTGCATGTGTGCGTGTGCGTTTGTGCGTGTGTGCGTGCATGAGCATGTGCGTTTGTGCGTGTATGTGTGCGCGTGTGCGTGTTCGCATTGAATCGACGCGTGACAGCACTGGTCATTTCTCGCAGGAAAACTACACCGAGTACTCACGCAGTGGCAAGGTCATCCGAGGTCAGGAGCGCGGCGTCGCCAAGTCCAAGTATGAGGAGGACATATTCAGTAACAACCACTCGTCAGTGTGGGGATCATGGTGGCATGATGGCATGTGGGGCTACCGCTGCTGCCGCGGCATGCTCAAGATGTGCTACTGCACGGGGGAACGCGGCATCGAAGCCACAGCGCAGGCTGGCCACACGGGGACTCTTGCCGTGAGGGACACGGGGGAGGATGACGAGGAGGGGGAGGCAGACGGGAGGAATAAGGTGGAGGAGGAAGAGGAGACGTCAGCGGGTCCAGCAAAGTCACTGCTTGAGGTATGTGTTATCTCTTGCTCTCTTTCTTTCTCTCGCTCTCTCTCTTTCTCTCTCTCTCTCTCTCCCACTTTCTCTATTTCTGTCTATCTATCTCTATCTCTTCCTATCTCTATCTCTCTGTTAAACACACAGTAGAGGTCTACACCATATTGATTAACATTGTCTGAGTCGAAAAAGCAGGTGAGTGGAAGCTGATGTGTGTGGAATTTAGTACAGAAACCTTATCATCATTGGCTATGATCTACTGGGTGGCATTCGTGTGGCATTAAACCATCCATCTTGATCAATCAAGTAGCAAAGCAGACGAATCATCAACAGCGATGATGGAATTGCTGTCGAGAACATAGTGAACTCAGTTCTTCACCAATTATTTCCAGATGCATAAAGAGAAGGTCGAGAAAAAGAAGACAAAGAAGAAAAAAGAACCGAGCAAAAAGGACGACAGTTCGGATAGCGACAGTGACAGTAGTGATAGCAGCAGCAGCAGCAGCAGTGACGACAGTAGTAGTAGCAGCGATAGCAGCAACAGCAGTGACAGCAGCAGCAGTGACAGCGACAGCAGCAGCAGCAGCAGCAGCAGCGATGACGAAGATGGTGACAAGGAGGGAGAAATTGATCAAAAGAAACTAAAAAAGGTGCGCGAGTTGGCCGTCTTGTCTGGCACTTCACTAAATTGTTTCAGAATGTGTAACCAGCTTTATGAAATGGTTTGCATCGAGACGTTTTCTATGTGGCCACCCAAAGAACTGGGTTGTCAGAAACAAAATTAGTCTTAACTTTAGTCTTAACATTAACTTTTTCTCATAGCCTAGACCTCTATACACTGCGCATTAGAGACTTATTACTAAACCATGTTGCTTTAATGTCCCATAAGAAAAAGTTTATGCTAAAATATAATGCTATGTTAATGCTAATGCCAATGCTAATTTTGTTTCTGAGAAACGCCCGTTAGATCAATATTAGATAACCTTGCCTGAACGTTTGTACGTATTATAGAACAGACCGGCGTCAGGTACAGATTGATAGGTCTGCCTGAAAACGGCCATGAGCTACTTACAAGTGGCATTACATTATGTTGATGATAAAAACAATACTGTTTGTCGGGCAGTATTTTGTTAGTTAATTAGTTATCTGTTGTAGGTGCCTAGATGGCACATAAGCCATGGGGCTTTGATTCAGTTGCAAATGCTTCATTTTGGAAGGTTCCCTCATCGATTCCGCGTGCCCACCACTAGCTCAACACTGAAAGCACTTCTCGTGTTAGTTTCTTAAAGAGTTAAATGAAACCAACAGAGAAAAATTTGATATAAATGTTCGATCAGAGATGGCGCGACGGTCGGTTTTGTGGTCGGGAGTGCTAACGCTGCATTCCATTTCGGCAGGCTCTGAAGCAAGAGGAGTTGAACAACCAGAAGGCGTTGCGTATGCTCGCGCAGGACGAGAGAAAGCGGCCGTACAACTCGATGAAGGGCGTGAAGGCACCGACAGAGGAGGAGATAGAGGCCTTCCGCATGAAGCGCCCGCGCAGCGACGACCCGATGTCACGCTTCCTCTCCTAGCTGCCGTTTACTTGTTTTGCTGTCGCTCACTTGTTTGTTGCGATGGCGCCCTGAGTTGCAATGTACCGGTGGTGTGCATACTTTCCTAGCTGCCGTTCACTTGTTTTGCTGCCACTCACTTGTTTTGCTGCCGCTCACTTGTTTGTTGCGACGACGCACTGAGTTGCAATGTACCGGTGGTGTGCTTACTTTCCTAGCGGCCGTTCACTTATTTTGCTGCCGCTCACTTGTTTTGCTGCCGCTCACTTGTTTGTTGCGACGACGCACTGAGTTGCAATGTACCGGTGGTGTGCTTACTTTCCTAGCTGCCGTTCACTTCTTTGTCAGTCGTGCGTTTTCGCTTAGATTCATCGCAGAATGCATGGATTGCATCAGGGGTTAATAATGACATTGTCATTATTGTCATTAATGACATAATCAGTATCATGCCGTTAATGACATTTGTTATTATTAACCCCTGATTGTATATATATATATATATGTGTGTGTGCGTGCGTGCGTGCGTGCGTGCGTGCGTGCGTGCGTGCGTGCGTGTGTGTCCATGAGAATATGGTGGGAGAAAATGCAAAGGCCTGCATAACACTAGTTCTCCTGTTTTCTTTTAGGTTCGTTTTCGTTTATTGAAAATGTGTTCACTGTTGGAGACAGTTTGTAGTGAGAAAAATAAGGGTTAGAAAAATTAACTATTAAAACAGGTGGAAACCTTATTAACAGCAAAAGCATTATTCTTGCGCATTTAATTTAATTGTTTTTATATATACTGGCATTTTTTGGAGCATTGGCTTATTTGCTTATTTGGCGCTAATTGGATGTGTCGTAATAATATATACGCCTAATGCCGTATAATTGGACAGTATTTCAAACTGCATGAATTTTGTCTCTACATTTCTGATACAGTTGGCTAGCAATTAGGCAAGGGAGTTGGGTAAAGTTTGGCTTTGGGCGAGTTTGGGTTTGTCTTATTGAAGTATATGTATATTTAGTTAGACCTTTGAGTGTAAGAGCGTTGTAACAGAGGCTATATAGTGACTGTTGTGGTATGTGTAACGTACGTGCGTGTGTACATGGTAAATTACCACACTACCCGACAGTAAATTGAGAGAAAGTCCATGTATGCCCATTATGTTAATTCCGTCTACCTTTATCCGCCATCACTTAAACACGCGCTTTTTATATTTCACTGGCACGGTTAATTTTGGTGAAAAAGTTCTCATTCGTGTAGTAAATTCGATCCTCGATTTCGCGAAGTGTATATAGTGTAGTGCCACTCTTTAGCTATGTGTTATCTACTGTATTCTGCCATTCAATTATACCAGCATTTTTCTAGTACATCTTACTAGTGCTATGATATAATTATGATAACAAATTGATGTATTGTATGGAATAAGACCATGCGTGTGTGTACCTGTGCGTGCGTGCGGGCGTGCGTCTGTATGTGTGTGTGTGCCTGTGCGCGCGTGTACGTGTGTATAAATATTTGAATCGTTCGAATGTATAATAGTGGCAAATTTATTACGTTAATAACTATTAAGTCGGCATGCTTTTTGTGGTCGAATGTATCAAACTCCATTTATTTTAGACAGCTAGCAGTTATAACGAGAGCGCATCGAAAAAAATAAATGAGATTTGACACAGTTTGCACGGATTCTTTCATGTTTTAAAACTGACCTGAGTTGTATGCTTAGGCGTGCCCATTCCGGCACGGATGTAAGGTTCGGCACCGGATTCCGGCAAGGCGGAACATAGGCCTTCAAGGCGGATTCCGGCAAGACTGACGTTCGGGTTGTACACCTACTGAGCACGGTCGTGTTTTGGGGCAAGATTGTGCACATAGCATGAACGCGTATATACTGTACCATACGAACTAACGATATTTATTCATTCTACACTGAGCAATGCACGCTGTTTGACAATAATTGTGTGTACGTAATTACATATTACATAATAATTGTTACCGAGTAGGCGTCCTCTCGTCTGATTCCGTGAGTAATCAAGAACTTTTATTGTACATATATATAAACGGATACCTATATATTGCACTACGAACATCAAGAGCTAATAATACATGTGTATTAATGTATTAGGTTAATGTATTATAATGTATTACATCAAGAGTAGATAAATAACATTATCTATCTTCTCGTTATTTATCTACTCTTGATTACATGTAATGAATGTATTATTAGCTATTGAGCACAGCTATGTATTCATAATATAACATTAAATATATGTGCATGATAGCACTTACGTATCGGCCCAATAGGGGAAGCCACTACAAGATTATTCTCGCGGAAGAAGAGGAATAGAAGAGGAGGTAGGAAGGTAACGTAATAATAGGAGAGGAGGAAGGAAGAGAATGAGAAGGGAAGGAGGGGAGAAGGCGAAATATATCGAGAAAGTAATAAGGAGGAAAATGGGAAGAAATTAAAGGAGGGTGGGAGGAGAAGGAGGACACGAGAAGGAGGCGGGGAAAAGGTGATGGATTAATTGAAGAAAAAGAATGAGAGAGGTGGGGGAGAGAAGGTGGGGGAGAGAGCAGAGGAGAGATAGAAGAAGAAGAGGGAACTAACGGAGGAGGGGTAGAAGAGGAAAGAAGAATGACAAGGGGAGGAAGAAAGAATTTCGTAAGAATCGAGGCGTTTCGTTTACTACCCATGTGCAATGTACGAAGGGGGCACTGGTTCACGAGGGTCGAATTTCTACGTATCACTTTCACTTCACTTTTCACAGCCAGCTGGTCCACGCGATATCGTCTTGTCTTATATATAATTCTCAAATTGGCTCCTCACTATAGCTGACGTAGCAACATCATCTTCGACAAGGCAAACACATTATTCCATCAAATCTGTAGATTCCACTCCTGTGTTCATGTATATACTATATAGTAACGTACACTACCACGACGTTTAATACCAACAATGTCGCTGTTTTGAATGAAAGGTCCAGAGTTTAGTCGCATTACTGTGCTACCACGTGTAGCATTAGGTAGGTGGCAGCACTATTATGAATAGCGAACCGAAGGTTGGAATAAACACGGTGGACGAATTCTAATCACGTTGGATGTACAGCTAGCTTAAGCAACGTCTATTATTTAGGCAGTGGAAATGGAGAGGGAGAGTTCACACGTCGGGCTGCATGACGCATTATATATATATATATATATATATATATATATATATATATATATATATATATACAATACAAATAAACCAAAACATACAATTACGTACAATACAAAAACCATTACAAAATAATACAAACTATGCTTACTATTCATGGTAACATCAAGATATTGCCTCTGAGCAGTGTAGACATTCTGTGGCGCTAACCCCACGCCACATAGACGCTCCTATTCTATTCACATTAGGTGCGTTCACACTGGCGCGAATTAGCGGGCTGCAAATCCCGAGCTTTTTACAAGTGTGAACGCAATTAGTTCACTAAATCGCGCTCAAAATAGCGCGCTGCAAAGAACACTTCTGACTGCGCTAATTTTGAATAAGCGCGCTTATTTGCACCGCGGCGTGTTATCCCGCTCGGCGATTAGCGAGATATTTCCGCCTGTGTGAACAACGACACAATTAGCTCACTATTATCTCTGCTATTAGCGGGATGAGCAGCGCGGTTTTTCTTGTGTGTGAACACGCCTATTGTCTAATATTGTATAAAATACAAAACTGGTAGCTGTCGTTTATTATCCCTGCATGTCTCTCAATCGCCCGGTACGCCATTGGCTGGCGGTACTGTCAGGTTGTAGGCTGCCTTGTTCGCTAACGCCATCAGTGGAGCCTCCTGTTTCTCTCCCAGCAGCCAGTACGTCGTCACGAGACCTTTTCCCTTGAAAGAGTCATGTTCTCTTGGCATTTTTATTTGAAAAGAAATCTCGTCACGCATTCGCGCGTTCTAACCTGTTTCATACTCCAAGTAAAACTGTAATAAGGGTCAATAATCACAAAACAGTTTCAAATTTCTAACTTCTTAAATGTTTAAACAATATCAAAATTATCGTTGAGATTATTTACCCCGGTCATGTATGTTTACTAATTTGTCATTGATTTATATATAGAAGTTATAGGAGTACACGAATTCAAATTGATACATTAATAATCTTGATTTATCGATTCGAATCAATCAATTTAATATTATGTACTCCTGATAAATAAATAAATAAATAAATATATATTATGTGTGTGTGTTCTATTTGTTGCTCACGTATGCATTTTAGTTTTATGACATTGACAAACGAAAGTAAATTTCTCACTTTCATTGCAACCTCTCCTCTCAGTTCTATGGCGAAATTTCCAAACGTGTCCAGTACGGCCTTCGTATCGGGGCTGATGTGTATCTTCATGGCTAACAAACAAGAAATCGCTCGCTTGATTAGCCGCAAGTATGGATATTGCAGTCGCTGATCCGCCTTTCTGTTGTTAAGGCCGATTTTGCGGGTGTGGAATTAAAACTTAACATGACCTGCTTAATGTTGCGACTATAATTATTACTAATTATTTTTAGCTGTGAATTCTCTATTATACTAGGTTCTGTACTATACTTACTATATTACACTAGTTATTATTACAGCTATAACTCCCTATTATTAAGTATTATAACTTTCTACAGACTCAGAGTATAGGAGGATGGAGGGATGCCGCCTTTTTCATCTCGCCTTTTTCTTTCTCGTAGTTTATTATGGCCCTGCTTATTAGCTGCATTTACTGTTACATGCATCTATTTGCGTATGTATAGGTGGTGTACTCCTGTTGAAATACCGTTTTTGTTAGGATTTCATCCTATTAGTTTTATTTCCTGTTATTATATGATAGTTGGTGAGGGGGTGGGAGGATACCTTCTCTGTTTGGACTCAATTCTGCTGGGTGTTTTTACTGTTAATTATAGGAGCTTGAGTAGGCCTACCTTCTCCGTTTGACTCCATCCTACTGGCTGTATTTACTGTGTCACCGAACAAACAGTAACGAGGCATTTTCAATCCGACGACTCCAGTCACGCATGGACCTGCGCAAAACATACATACACACACACACACGCAAATGCTTACACACGTGCACAGAGACACACGTTTTTTCTGTTCTTATGGCAGGTTCGTATGACAGGCATTGAAAAATATTTCGGTGACATACGATCCTTCCTAAATAATGACAGCATATATAACCTCTCTTTCCTTTTTTATATGCTAAGCCGCGCGAAGTGCATGTTTACAACAGCAATTTACGCCAACACGCGATGCGCCAGGATTTCAGCTTTAGTTTGAATAATGCTTAATCATCGTTCCCTGATTTTGAAAGTCATTAGTCTAGCAGGATGAGAAATCACGCGCATGCAGTATGTGTGCCTATACGAGACCTTGTGTATATAACTATGTGACCTTATATTTTCCATGCACGGGTCTTTTCTTTATTATGAGCCACAGTTAGAAAGAAATCCGTGTTATTTACGCGCTCATGCTACTAGCTACAGGTGTCTGCAAAAATGCGCGCTCGTGTACACGTGTTGGACGAGTTAGCGCACGTGTCTGTGTGCGTGCGTGTGCGCGTACCCGTGTGCGTGCAGGCGTGCGTGCGTGCGTGCGCATCTACCCGTGTGCATGCATGCGTGCACAAGTACCTGTGTGCGTGCGCATCTACCCGTGTGCATGCGTGCACAAGTATACCTTTGTGCGCACGTACCCGTGTGCGCGCGTACCCGTGTGCGTGAGTGCGTGTGCGCGCGTACCCGTGTGCGTGCGTGCCTGCGTGCGCACGTACCCGTGTGCGCGCGTACCCGTGTGCGTGAGTGCGTGTGCGCGCGTACCCGTGTGCGTGCGTGCCTGCGTGCGCACGTACCTGTGTGTAGGCCGATACGCAGCTTCAGCTGGTCATCGGGCCGATGGCGGATCTTGAACACCTTGATGGCATTGAGTAGAGCGAGCGACATGCGCGATACCTCAACGGCATGCTGGTTGCCGTTACGTATCGGTAGACCGCTAGCCACCATGTACGCATCACCTATCGTCTCCACCTGCGAATACAAAACAACGCATGAGAATCTACCAGCCGCGATGATAAAATCCTCACATCACGCACCTCGGCTATTACATCTCAACGTAGTGTCAAAATAGTCAAAATAGTCGGATCATAACCTGGTAAGGCCTTATGGCATCGAGCAATAAGCTGTTAATTCCACATCGGGTAGCGCACTAGATTGTAACAATGTAGAGTCGGTCCAGGGGGCCGCCAGGGACTCAGGTTTCTATTTCACACATGTTACGTCAGAACTGACGCCACACCGTCCGTTGGGGGACTCTATGGTTTCCGCGGAGCTATGTTTCTGCGCAGCGTACGTTGTTCACGTCACTGTTTCTGCACAGCTTACATTGTACGCGTCACAGTTTCTGCACAGCGTACTTTGTGTACGTCACAGTTGTTCGCGCAGCATACATTGTTCGCGTCACAATTTCTACGTAGCGAACCTTGTGCGAGTCATAGTTATTGCATAGCATACATTGAAGACGTCCCAGTTTCCGTGTAGCGTATCTTGCACACGTCCCGGTTTCTGCGTAGCATACCATGTATACGTCACAGATTTGGCACAGCGTACCCTGTTGACGTCACATTTTTTGCATAGCGTACACTCTACGCGTCACAAATTCGGCGTAGCGTACCTTGTAGACGTCATAGTTTCCGATGATTCCGTCGAAGCAGGTGTAGAGGTCATTGAGTAGATCAACTACCTGCAGCGGAGTGCTGGCAGCCGACAGTGACGTAAAGCCGACGATGTCAGAGAAGTAGATCGTACACGTCTCAAAGAACTCCGGCTGCACAGACTTGCCTTCCGTCAGCTGCCTAGCGACAGATCTGCCGGGTGATTAAAGATGTTAAGTCAAGGTAATAAAAAGCAAGATGCTAAAGGTATTGAGTCAAGGTAATTAAAGGTAAGATGTTAAAAGTAGTAAGTCAAGGTCATTAAAGGTCATGTGTTAAACGTTTGAAGTCAATGTAATTAAAGGGTAGATGCTAAAGGTGTTACGTCAAGGCAATTTAAGGTGATCTGTTAAAAGCATTATATAAGTCAAGGTAATTAGAGGTTAATGTTAAAAGTATTAAGTCAAGGTAATGAGAAGTAAAATGTTAAAAGTATTAAGTCAAGGTAATCAGAGATAAAATGTTGGCGGTGTTAGGTCCGGGATCACAGCTCTTCCGTCTTTGTACAAAACGAGGCCGACCGCATCATCATCACGCATTAGTGTTTGGTTATAACTTAATATTATATTGGTTATATTTTATTAACTTCCTGCTGCTATATTAATACTTGATGTGGAATCCTAAGAACGTAATATATGCACGCGTTCATTAATACCAGGGGTGAATAATTACAAGTTGTCATTATTCACCCCTGTTATTTTGTAGTTAGTAACAGGGCTAGCGAACAGGCGGCATTACTAGTAAGGTGGCGGCAGCGGCGCGCGCGTGTGTGTGTGCGCAGCAGCAGTGTTGGTGAGGATCAAACACGATTACCGGCAAACATGGACGCTGTGTTAGTTCTAATTACGACACTGTGATAGGTAATTGTTGTGCGTTATAACGACAGGCCCGTGCACACACCGACGCACGCTAACGAGCATTTACACGCACACACACGCGCACACGCACGCACACACGCACGCCCGAGCATGTACACACACACACACACACACACACACACGCATATCCACGAATGTACACGCACGCACGCACGCACACCCGCGCATGTACACACAAACACACACGCACGCACGCACGCACACGGTCATGCCAACACACACGGACGCCCACGTGTATACAGTCTCTCTTTCTCTCTCTCTCTCTCTCTCTCTCTCTCTCGCTCTCCTCTCTCTGTCCAGGGGCGTGTACAGGGGGGGGGTCCAGGGGGTCCGGACCCCCCCTGCTCGCGCAGAAAACGCATCTGAGGGGGTCTAATTTCAAAAAATTTGGGGGGGAGGGCCCCTCAGACCCGCCCTTCGCGTCCTCGCAAGTTTCGGTTACGGTTAGACCCCCCACCCTGCTACAAATCCTGTACACGCCCCTGCTGTCTCTCGCTGTGTGTATGTATATGCGTGCGCGCGTGTGTGTTCCGTCTATATCGACCTCGCTCCATTTCTCTCGCTTTATATCTCTCTCTTTATATATATATATATATGATGTACACACATACCTTGGTAGCACTTGATACAACAGCTCCTCCGACTTTCGTTTTTCTTCTAGGAAAGCCTGAGTTCGTTCCTCGACCAGCGATTCCAAGTTGTTAGCATATTGTTCCATTCTATTGAGCAAGTTGTCCAATATGTTCGTATTCTCGTATCCGCTACACATCACAAGGAAACCTCTCGTGAACACGATATAAAATTATAACAAAGCGTGAATGAGCAAATTGAAACAAACTTGTTATTATTACTATTTCATATCTTTTTATAATTTGGTCATTTGGCTGATGCAGCTTTTTCACATGTTACTGAATATTGAAGTCGCAAAAATGCTTATAAAAAGTAATGGTCAACATTAATAACTACGTAAATACCTACTGATATAGTGCAACTATCGCAAAAATAAACTATAATATACTAAACAACTATTATATTATTTCAATTTAATTAATCAATTAACTGATAAAATATTTCGTTAAATATTATTAATTAATTCAATTATAATTTTTTATTAAAAAATATTTTAGTTTATTTATTAGTGATATAATTAATTAATTAATTACGTTGCTATCGCATCTAGCCGTATTGTATTTCTGACATGCATGGTCGAGGCACCGTCGCACGGCCAACTCTAGCAAAACACAAACTTAACTCAACCCCTAACTCAAGTCTAACTCCAACCGAAAGTCTAAATCAAATTCAAACTATCTTTAACCCAAATTTTGACTCCAATTCTAACTAGTTTCAGCTCAACTCAATGTCAAATGTCTAATCCATAGACTAGAAAAATTAAGACCACTCAAGCTCTGATACTAAATATAACTTTAATCCCTAACCCTAATAACATCAACTATAACTTCAACTCTAACTCTAACTCTAATATTCTTGTTCCAACTCTAACTCAATTTAAACTCTAATTCTAACCCTAACGCTAACTCCAACTCTAACTCTATTCTTCATAACCCTATCTTACTCTATCTCCATCTCTATCTCTAAACTCTACTGACACGTTGATCTTCTTCAGATGTGACTTTATCTGGTGAAAGTTGGGTCTAGCAGAGGGTGCTTCCGTCCAGCACACCTTCATAATCTCGATGATAGCCGTGGAGTGTGTGTCGTAGTCGACGTCGAGGTGTGGGCGGTAGGGAGGATGCGTCCCCACGCGAACCTTCTCTATTATCTCTAAATGTAAAAGGAAAATACTCACAATGATATCACGATTGATTGCACATCGCTGAAACTAGGGACGGCTGGTATGCCGCGTTGAGTAAATGCGGTGAAACACTACGAAATCCAATCAGTCAAGGGAATTTGTGGTGCCGTGCGTAACGCTAAACGTGTGGTTCGCGACTGTAAAGGGCATGGACACACGCACCCATGCACGCGCACATGTATGTACATGCATATGCAAGTACACAAGCTTGGGTGCACGCACACGCACGCGCATGCACACGCTTACACTGATACGCATGCACACAAACACACACACACACACACACACACACACACACACACACACACACACACACACGCGCGCGCACGCACAAACAAACATGCATATACATACGCACACATAAACGTGCACACACGCACACATAACCATGCACACTCGCACAAACAAACATGCACACACACAGACATGTAAACACACTCTGTGCACGCACCCACGTTCCAATGCTCACACAAGATGCAAAGTACGCACACACACATGCATACACATGTGCAACAAACACACACACACAATCAGTCAAGGGAATTTGTGGTGCCGTGCGTAACGCTAAACGTGTGGTTCGACAACTGTAAAGGGTATGGACACACGCACCCATGCACGCGCACATGTATGTACATGCATATGCAAGTACACAAGCTTGGGTGCACGCACACGCACGCGCATGCACACGCTTACACTGATACGCATGTACACAAACACACACACGCACACACACACACACACACACACACACACACACACACACACACACACACACACACACACACGCGCGCACAAACAAACATGCATATACATACGCACACATAAACGTGCACACACGCACACATAACCATGCACACTCACACAAACAAACAAGAACACACACTGCACACACAGACATGTAAACACACTCTGTGCACGCACCCACGTTCCAATGCTCACACAAGATGCAAAGTACGCACACACACATGCATACACAT